CCGACGTCCCACCTTGATACTCTGCTTCTGCTTGAGAATGGCGAGTTTGGAGTCATGGAGTTGGAGAAGGAGAAGCAATGGGACCGCCGGGCCGACCAAAATCCGAATGGGCCTGGAGGTTGAAATTTGGAATGAATCCGAATGGGCTTGCACTGTAACCATTTACCAAATTTGTGTTTATTTTTTTGCAGGGTTTTGTTTTTGGCAGACTGGTCATTTGGGCGAGTGAATCTGCCTAATTTGTTATTGGGAAGAGTGGTCATGTATTCTAACCAAATTTTTGTTTATTTTTTTAGGGATTTTGCTTGGAAATTTGGATTAGTACTATTTGATTTTCGAGTGGTTATTGCCTGAGTGTAATCATTAATTTTTGGTAACAACTTTAATTATGTCAACTAGAAAATTTGAATAAGGTAGTTCTAACTTCTAAGCGTAATAATTTTTATTTTTAATAAATTTTACGGAAAAAAATTTAGGGCCACATTTTTAATTTTGGAACAGGGCCTCCGAATATTATGGGACGGCCCTGACGATCCGCTGCATTCGTCCTCCCCGTTTCTGGACGAGGCCGTAGGAGTTCCAGTCGGAAAAGAGAGACGACGATGGCTTCTGTTGCTGTGAACAAACAGTCCGTCTCTCGTTGAAGCTTGGAAGCTGAGAATCCATGGGGGGAGAAAACAGGGGAGAAAGGGAAGCACAGGATTCTAGAATCAGGCCTCGGTGAACAGATGGGCTTCAGCTTGACAAAGGCCCAAAAAGATTCTTCTCTATATAATCGAAAGCCCAAAGGACTGGAAATCCGACGGCGTTTACCGAGGGAGGCAGGCCCACGGCCGACGAAAACTGGAAACCCGACCCAATTGGAGAAACGGGCGAAATGCGAAACGGCCGAGAAAGATTCTTTATTTAATTCAAGCCCCAAAGGAAGAAGAACGCGACAGCGTTTTGGGAAAGAGGAAGGGGGTATGCCTGGGAAAGTTGGGCTAGCCTTTCACAGAGGGCCCAAACGGCCTCTGCTTCATTTAATCGAAGGCCCAACAAACAAGAAATGCAGCGCCGTTTCGGAAGACTGGTCGGCCTACGGCCGGCGAAAACTGGAAACTCTTGCAAATTGGAGAAACGGGCGAAACGCGAAACGGCCGAGAAAGCTTCTTTAATAAATTGAAGCCCCAAAGGAAGAAGAATGCGGCAGCGTTTTGGAAGAGGAAGGGGTATGGCTTCGAAAGTTGGGCTTTCCATTTACAAAGGGCTCAAATGGCCTGTGCTCCATTTCATTGAAGGCCCAAAAAACTGGAAATGTAGCGCCGTTTCGAGAGACAGGTCGGCCGTAGGACGGGGAAACCTGAAACCCCCACAGAATGGTGAAACAGGCGTCCGAAACGTCCGAAACGCGAAACGTTTCGGCTCCTCAAAACCAATATCGAAACGCGATAAATTGACGATAAATTGAAATTGACGATATTTCGCGAGATAATAAAATATCGCGATATTTACTCGATACTTTGACTTTTGTACGATATATTGACCTGGCGCTGAACTTGCCAGTCGAGTACCGGAAAAAACACAGAAATACATGGAAGATCGGATCAAAATACAGGGGAAACAACACCGAAAAGACTCCGTTTTATGAACGGCGCCAAGATTCCTGCATCCCATTCCATAATGGGTTCTTTGGCCACTGATGAGACTTACGATCTTGTGAACTTGCGGAAAATCCGACGTTTCTGGTTCTTGTGCGATATCGACGATGACTGGAGCTATGGTGGAAGCAGAATTAATTCCCATTGAAGTTCACAGGACCTTCAAGAGTTGCACAGCAAATATGGGAGGCCTCCTTGGCATGAGCCAATAGGGGAGAAGTCGAAGACCAAACTGCAGCAACTGTTTAGACAGAAGAACATGGGCAAAAGCCAATAGTTAACCTGATATTTTTTTATACATCGTTTTCCAAGAAACCCAAATGCAGCAAGGCTCTAGACACCCATTTCCCAGGAACTGGCTGCGCCGGCCTCCACTGAGTCCTCTCTGTACTGGGCGTTTCCATTGACAAGTTTGAGGTCTGCCTTGCCTTCTCTTCCCCTTATCGTACAGGAGTACTGTACCAGCTGACTACGAGTAATTCCTTCCCATTTTTGCTTTCATATTTTCATCTCATTCGTATGACCCTAGATCCAAATTATTGTGGCTGATTGCATAGGCTGTGATGTTGAACTGCTGTTAGTAGCTTAGAATTAAGATTGATTGCTATGTAGTTCTTTGTTCATTGCTGGCTGCCCACTTTATGTTCGTGGTTTTGCCTTTACTTTGTACTGTTATGAATGAGGTCCCCGCCTGGTACAAGCGGTCCATAAAGAAATATCCATTCTAGTGTTATGTGTTGGATTGGTAACTTAATGGTGATTTCCTGGTGGAAAGTTGTCTGGGACTTGAAATGATTCGGATCATTGCAATAATGGTGAAAGCAAGTGATATTAGGAATGACTATTCTTGGCGTGGAAGCTACTTAGGATAGACAAACATAGCAGTCTCCAGCAAGTTTACTTGAATATCCTCAAGTAACAGCAACCAGTAGGGTTACTCTATGTGTGGCGCTCCTTTCATTTCTGTTATTATTAATTATTAGGTTTGGCTAGCTGAATCTGTTTTTCTATTATATCTTCAATTTGATTGTGTCAAGAACCAGTTGATCCCAATAACTCGAGTTGTTGGGAGAGGTTCAATCGTGGATCATATACCAAACACTAACACGCCCCCTCAAACGAAAGCCACTCACAAGAGCTTGAAGTTTGCACAGGTTTGAAGACAAGAATACCATGTGCTTAACAAATGGGGTCACCGAGAATCGAACACAAGACCTCTCGGTCACAAAAGAGGGCCGACGCTGATTGTGGCTGGTGGGCGAGGCCTGCCCAGGAGAGGAAAATAGGGTGGCCTGTGGGCTGGAGGCCCGTGGAGAATCAATGTGGGCCTGAGGTGAATAAGCCCGCGAAGAGGAGGGCCCGCGTGGAGAGCCTCGCTGCTGGCGGCCGAAAGAAGGGTTCCCAGTGCCCCCGCCGCCGCCTGAAAATCGCTGCCCCTGAAAAAAGAAAGTAGTAGGAACAGGGGACTTAATTTGTTCCTTAAGATCAGATTCGTATTCGACTAGGGAGTCAATCAAGTCTTCCAGAACGAGCCCTGGTCCTCTAGCACGAATCGCAGCAGCAAACGCCCCATATTCTTCGCCCAGGCCTCGAAGGCAGTAGACGATCAAATCAAGATCGGAGATAGGAGCTCCAATGAGAGCAAGCTCTGCCGCCGTGCTTTTCAAATCATTGACGAAGGCCAGGATGTCTCGATTTCCCTTGGAGGTTTTGGCCAGTTTCCCCTTGAGATGAATAATGCAGGACTGAGCACTGCTGGCGTAAAGCTTCTCCAGAATCAGCCAGGCAGCGCGGGATGTAGAAGCGCCCGAAACAAAAGAATAGATCCCTTCCGAGATCGAGCATCGCAGAGCATGAAGTAGCAGCTTGTCTTGGCGGAACCAAAGCTGAAAAGTTGGGTTGGGTTTGGCCACACCGTTCTCTGTTATGGTGCGATGGTGGAGCCGTCGATGTAGCCGAAGAGATCCAGACCGAGGAGCAGCGTCTCAAGCTGGGAGCGCCAAGAGGCGAAGTTAGACGGAGTCAGCTTCAATGGAAGTTGAGCAGCAGGATTGAATGTCACAATGGCTGGAACAATGGAAGAGACGGCGCTGTCGTGAACTTTAGATTCGCCAGACATGGTTTCGGCAGAGAAAGAAGAGAGAGAAAAAAAAACATAGTGTTTTACACAGGAAAGGAAACGCAAGCGGGAGAAAGAAATTGGATCGACTAGCTGATCGTTGCTAGCTCTGATACCATGTCAAGAACCAGTTGATCCCAATAACTCGAGTTGTTGGGAGAGGTTCAATCGTGGATCATATACCAAACACTAACAGATTGTAGAATAAAAAGAGTGGATCAATAACTCAGCAATTTGATGCATGTGCTAGCTGGTGGACTCAAGGGCCTGATACTACAGGAGTTAATGGAGTCTAACGGAGACTAACGGCCGGTGACTAATGGTGAAACGAGTCGTAAAGTTAGTGGTGAATAAGAAAGTAAATTAATTCGGGTGGCGAAATAAAAGTTTGTTGATCCTAACTTGTTACTCCTTTTGCAGTTTGGTTTCATGCTTATTGCTCTGATCTGGAAGTTTGATTTCTCACCTTTCATGGTCCTGATCATTGCCATCCTCAACGATGGTTAGTTTTTCAACTGAGCCTGAGTAGTGCTGCAGTACCATAATCTAATTGACAAAGAAATAATTTTTGCCTTTGTACACGTGCAGGTACGATAATGACAATCTCTAAGGACAGAGTGAAGCCATCCCCTCTGCCGGATAGCTGGAAGTTGAAGGAAATCTTTGCAACGGGAGTGGTGCTAGGTGGCTACATGGCATTGATGACTGTCATATTCTTCTGGGCGATGCATAAAACGGATTTCTTCTCCGTAAGACATGAGAATTGTTATATACATCAGATTGTCATCTGAATCTTTCGGTACAAACAGAATTCACAAGAATGCATTAAATTGGACAATGCATAATAATTAACTAATAAGAATAAAATTGTTTGTACAAACAAAAGAATGTACAAATAATAATAATAATAATAATAATATTTTAATAATTAACTAATAAGAATAAAATAATATGTTTTATGTTTAAGAATGTACAAATAATAAAAATAAATTTTTTTTACAAACAAAAGAATATAAAAGTCAAATTACAAAAAATAGTAAAAAAAACCCGGTTCGGTTTCGGGTCACCCGAATCGACCCAAAACCGCCAGTGATTTTTTGGGTTTCTGAACCCGCAAACCCGCAGTGCACACAGTCGGTTTCGGTTTCGGGTTTTGCGGGAGTCGGTTTCGGGTTTCGGTTTTTTGCGGGTTTCGGGTTCGGTTACCCGACCCGAACCGAACCGACAGCCCTAATGAGATGATGAGTGCGCTGTATCTTCAAGTCAGTATAGTGAGCAAGGCACTGATCTTCGTAACCAGGTCACGCAGCTGGTCGTTTGTCGAACGCCCTGGTTGGCTCCTGATGATCGCTTTCGCCCTTGCCCAACTGGTAAGTCCGTCAGTCTTTGGGATTCTGAGATTTAGAGTGAACACCTGTCACATTGCCAAATGACAGTTGATAGTTACACATATGTAAATAATACTATAGCTGTTTGTTTCCCGGCCTTTGCAGGTCGCAACTGTGCTGGCAGTGTATGCAAACTGGAGTTTCGCGAGGATTAAGGGAATAGGGTGGGGATGGGCCGGCGTGGTGTGGCTATACAGCATTGTGTTCTATTTCCCGCTGGACATAATGAAGTTCGCCATCCGTTACATCTTGAGTGGGAAGGCCTGGACCAACATGCTAGAGAACAAGGTAACAACGACCTAATTAACTAACTGCCTGGGTTTACCTCGTCGTGTAATTTGTTTTTGCATATTTAATGAATGTATGGATATACATTTATTGGTTTTGTTATTTGGTGATGGGAAACCAGACGGCGTTCACGACGAAGAAGGATTACGGAAAGGAAGAGAGGGAAGCGCAATGGGCACTTGCTCAAAGAACACTTCACGGGCTTCAGCCGCCGCCAGAGAGCTCCGGCGGTATCTTTAACGATAAGAGCAGCTACCGAGAACTGACGGAGATTGCAGAGCAGGCCAAGAGGAGAGCTGAGGTTGCCAGGTAATCAATCGATTTACTATTAGCAAGTGGTTGGGTTCTCCTGTTATTTATGCAGTACTGTAGGTGTGTAATCGGTTGGCGTTTGATAATGGGACAAAACAGGCTTAGGGAGCTGCTGACGCTGAAGGGACACGTGGAGTCGGTTGTTAAGCTTAAGGGGTTGGATATTGACACCATCCAACAGCATTACACCGTGTAATTACCGGGTCAGCAAATCAATCGTCGGACGGGAAAGGGGGAAAAAGGTAGAGACATAGGCGGTGAGCGCTGCGGCAACCAGATAAGCATTTGTAGTTTGTTTATGACAGGAGGAAAACGAAGAATGACATAACCCCGTAATAAGAACGAAGACAGAAAACAACCATGGTTCCTTTTGCATTATATTACGTCCGTAAGACCAGAGATTGTATTAAGAAATGGGTCTCTGTTTATTTAAGTTTATGGGGTTCCTATGTGGGAAAGAGTAGTTGGTTAGGCCTATTAGTTCCTGCCTTGTTTTTTTTTTTTTTTTTTTGGGTTTTTTACATATTATCATAAAAAGAAAAATGAAGCATCTTTCTTTTGTATATTGTAACGATGAGGTCTTCTTCCTACCAAAAAAAAAAAAACGATGAGGTCTTCTTTCTGCTTCTTAATTGCATGATTATTGTGGTGGTAGGTGGGGAAAAATGGAAGAGATCGAAAGATAAAATATAATAATATTTTACAATGATCCACAACATATTTTTATAATTTAAAAAGTAACGAAAATACATTAATCATTCAAACTATTAAGGTCACTCTCAATGCAATCAACCAAAAAAATCTTTTATGATTTCATCATTCATCTTACCAAAGCAGAATTTGAGGGGCGGTCAAGGGCCTTGAGTAGCTTGGTACACAAGACACCGCCGGGTGGAGTTGCAACTTGACTCCAAGACAACAATTGCGCTACTCCATGATACCGGATGCCATAGCCCCCCCAGCACGCAAGTCTCACCTTGGCTTTTCAGGCTTTGCTTTCCTTTGATATATGCGAAGAACAGTTTCACATTCCAATGAAAAGTCATACTCGATACAAAACGCGAGCGATCTAGGGTACCAAAACGCATTAGCCCCAGGAAATTTTTGGAGAGGTACAGCGGCAGCAGTCTTTAGCTGTACAGAATTTTAGCAGAAACTAATATAGCCCTCATTATAAGAAACTGAAATTGAACCAAAAAGAAAAGGGGGAAAAGCTTCAGCTGCTCTGGAGAACCTTCTGCGGATCAAGTTGCCCACTACAGTAACTGGAAGGAACTGCAGATAGTTCCAGTCTCCCTTTCCACTCCTCCCCTGGCTTTAGTGTGATGGGCTTCTCCACAGCTGCAGCTTCTACGCACAGCATGTGCTTGTACTCCTCATCCCCAAGATCCGCAATCGCCTTTGCCCTTTTGTCCCATGGATTCCACACAACTGCCACACACACAAAAGTGCAGACACTCATTACCAATTTACATAACTTTAGACTAGCTCATCATCTCCAATAACATTTACTCTGCAAGGGAGGGAAGGCAAAGTGGTTGGATTTTCTTAAGCTAACCATGAGTTCATGAGGTTCTAACTAACCAGCATCTGGGAGCCCATCTTTGCGCACCACAAATGTCCTCTTCTTTTCATGATCCAGAATCGCAATCTTGGTAGGGGTGCTGAGGTAGATCTTGTCAATCTATATATGGGTCATGAGAGGTTTAGAATAAGGACACACTATCACTCAAAGAGAAATCATTCAAATACCAAAGGTGCAACTCACTTCAGATTCAAAAGTTATAGCATCTCCCTGTTCTGTAAAACGCTCCTTGCTCTGTAGGTTGTCAAGATAATCATGTGTCTCCAGACCTTCCACCCGAACTTCACTATACATAGGCAAAAATATGTGTCATCTGAAACAACGCAAGAACGGCTTGCAGATGGAAAAGTGGAGTATCAAGAAAAATGCACCCCAATTATCTTCTCAGTTATACAGATTAGAGAAGTTGTGTAATTTGCACACTATATATGGAGGTAAATTCTCATGAAAAACATTCTAGAGGAACAATTCATTTGAAGCACACTGACAGCAAATTCCAGCGTAGCGGAGATATGTGCAGCCTGACCACTCATGCATAAAGAATATGCATGAGAAGACATTGCTACAGTGACAAGAGAGAACTTTTACAGCAGCCCAATATGTGAACATGAATTACACGTGCAAAGTGCAAACTAGTCTTAGTACTAGAATCACTTTTCAAGGAGAGAAAGTATGATGGACAACATGCCTTCATCTAATTCAGCGCAACAAGAGTTTTAACGACAGCATTACAGCCTTCTTCATAACAATTCTTTGTAATGTAAACCACAACCCCCTAAGGCCCTAACCAATTGTGTAATAAACAAGATCATATGGCCGATAATATTCATAAATAAATGCCAACAACCTGACCAATTAAGCTACCCCAGTGATAGTCAGAACACAAGCTTCAAAGAAGAATTACCGTGAAGGAATTTTTGTTACAAGGAAATTCATGGATTCTAACATATCCAATAAAACAAAGGTAAGAGTTTCAAGAATAACACATGTTCAATTACCTTATATCTGATACAGCAAAGTAAGTATGATACGCGAAAGTGAATGAGAAAGGCTTCCCATCTGTGCTGGTATTCCTGACACGAGATGTCAATAACAGATCTCCACCAGGGCCCAAAGCTACCCTCAAACGGAACTCAAAGCTAAAAACCAAAAGAGAAGAATGGTTAAGTACGATGCTTCTGGATTTTCCTGTTCACCATCCATAACCGTGGCAATACTTCTACTCTAAAACGATATTAGTTCCCTTCACTTTTTCTTATTTTGTTGGATCACCAGATACTAGCTAACCTTGCTGACATATCATTTGTTAGCAAATATCTCACCTGTGAGGCCAAATCTTCAGATCCTCTTCAGTTGGCTTGAGAATCAGATCAACATGAGCCATACTGGCAGAATTTGTTGGAAATGGAGGTGGATCAGACTCGATGCTCCAGAACCTGTTCCTAGCAAAACCATGCGACTCAAGACCACCATGGCTTGCAAACTGTGGTTCATTAAAACAAACTCTCATGAGGGGAAATGAAGTTGAAACAGGGTAGAAACTCAAGTGTTGCAGAAAGCACATACTTGAGGAAAGCATATAGGAATGCCACCACGAATAGGCTTTGGAGGTTTGAATGCGGCCTGAAGACGCAATACAATAAGCCAGTGAATACTGAGTACATGCTTATAAGATCAAAAGTCTAAAAAGATATAGATAAAGACTATGAACCCTAACAAAAACACAGACAGCTCAAAAACAACAGCAACATTGATCTCTGTTCTCTGAAGAATATGCTTCTAGTTGGAATTTCAATTGGTTAAGATAAAGGACAAGGGATTTTGTATGACCTTACTGCTTACGAAGAGCAACTCCTCCCCATGGTCATTTTTCCATGAAGTTACATGACCGCCATACAAGTACACCTGGAGAGTCGAAATAAACAATTGCAAAGATTCGCAAACTTGAGTTCAAGAGAAAGAAAAACTAGAAATAACTCGCACAGATCACCACCAACAATGTCAAAGAAGGAGAATCAGCAACAAAGAAGAGCACCCTATGGCTGTCAAAAGAAACTCAAACATGCAGTGAAAGAAAACAGAAGGTATAAATTTGCATTTCCCGGCCTCAAAGACAACCCAAACAGCATCAAAAGGCTCTACATCAGTACAATAGAAGTCCGAATTTTGAAAGTCTTTATATTCCTAAGAAACACCAATTCCCAACTTATGCGTGAGAATATGACTTATCAGATGACAATGAAAGGTCATATAGACGAATTGATAGACCATAAGACATGAAGGATCATCTCATCCAGGATACACAAGACGATCCAAACATTTAAGGCCCAACAACCAGTTTTCCCTCAAGCTAAACTTGTCATTCCACCTGTGCAGCCAGAAATCACAGCTTCAGTACCATCATCTTATGCCAACTTACAAGCTTAAGCACCCAGAAACCATCCGAGGGGCCATTGCCCGGTGTAACAGCTCACAGACAAGTCTTACGGTCACATTCCAAATCCTTCAGAGTAAGTAAAATTCATGAAAGACACTTCAACGAGTTCATCAACTACATCAACTAAACTAAAATCAACCCATCAAAAGATTCAAAAGCCAGTAAGATTAGCTTGGAACTGGATCCAATGGAAAATCTACATTCTAAACCTGGTCATCACATTGCCCCTAATCAAGGCAAGAAACCAACAAGGCCTAAATCAGACTTCCACTAAATCAGACTTCAGAATCATAGGCATGACCTTTTCAAGCTACATCGAAGAGATCTGGACTAAAGACAAGGCAAAACCGAAAGCGGATCAAGGAAAGGAAACAATCAGATCGCATTTACAAAGATACTATGGACGTAAACCGCGATTGAGATCAGTGGAAGAGCAGCGTGAGAAATGAGAAACAGATTGCAGTTACCTCGGCAGAACTCCCACGAGCTTCTCGGAGCACTACCCTGTCGAGGCCGCTGAAGCCTTTGCACACCTCCACGGGTAACTTGTCGCCACCTGCCGCAGCCATGACTAGAGAAGGCGAGAACAGTCTTCTACACTCAGCAAGCCACTGCTTCTCCTCCGGTTGGTCTTGGCGCGGTTGACGAGAATGAATCTCTAGAGCAAGCCCGTGCCAGCGTCAATTCACCATTTCCGTCCCTATTCTCCTCGTCGTCCGTCGCGGTGAATTAGAAACTTCTCTTTCTGTTTCTCCGCAGCTCTTATTTTCTTTTTCTTCTTTTGCTTCCCGGTAATCAAAGAAGAGAGGAAGCGCGTGATTACGTAACTACCCGCAGATACTTTACGGGAATTTCGAATTCATAATGACTCTTCTTTTGTTTTTGCGTAAAATCTCATCAGTAATCTTGGGCTTGAAAAGTTGAAACTCCAGCTGTCATTATTGCATCTATTTTTTTTTTTCCCGTCATTAGGAATGTCAATGGGTTGGGTACTTGGGTTGGAGCGGGTTTTGTCAAACCCAAACCGAAACCCATGGATTTATCCGCCAAAAAAATCCGGGGTAAAACCCGTTGGGTTTGAAAAACTCAACCCAACCCCTGAGTATCCGCGGGTTCATGGATACCCGTGGGTTTTTGTGGTAAAAAATTTACAATAACAAGTTTCTTTCAAAATAAAAGTTTAACATCAATTTTCTCATACAAATTAATCATACAAAAAACACCAATCTAGAGCATACAAGCAAACCGCAAATGATCAATACAAATTGTTCAAAATTAAAGATAAACATCTATAAACAATAAGATTAATTGAAAGCTTCTTCCTCGTCAACTAAGTTTCTTCACTCTCCACTTCATCATGTCAAATTCATTCTACACAATTAGAAAGAACAAATTATACATGTCTTCACAAACATAAAGAATATTAGTTGTTTAAGGAAGATATATTATTTAGAATATTAAATATATCGGGAAAGTAATTATATGTGTGTGGGCGGGTACCCATGGGGCGGGTTTACCTAACCTAAACCCAACCTGACCCGGTGAATAGTGTAGCGGGTTTAAACCCGAACCCGCCCCAAAACCCGTCAACATGGGTCTTACCCACGTTGACCGGGTTGGTCGGGTGGGTCCCGTGGGTTCGGGTTTTGTTGCCATCCCTACCCATCATCACTCATCACAACCTAATTCTCTTTGGTTATCAAATTGGTTTTCTATCACAAAAAAAAATCAAATTGGTTTTCTATTCAATTACACGTTTGGTCACTCAAATTATACAAAATTTTCACGTTTGTCACTAGAATTACTTTTCTTTCTTATTTGCCACTCACTTTACGAAATGTTTCACCGTTAGTCACCGATCGTTACACTCCGTTAGTCACTGGCCATTACACTCCGTTAAATTTGTCCCATGTGGCAGTCAACTATAAATTTTGACCGTGAACTAACGGTGACTAACGGTGAAAGGTTTCGTAAAGTTAGTGGCGAATAAGAAAGAAAAGTAATTCGGGTGGCAAACGTGAAACATTTATATAATTTGAGTGACCAAACGTGTAATTAAGCCTATTATTAACCTTTTGTTTCTCCAACACACTTGCGGGAATTGCTCATGGGCTCCAGCTTGCGTGGGATTGGGGCCATCGACAGGTGATCTTGCAAACGGATTCTTCGACAGCACTTACGCTCATCCAAGCGGTGGACACTTCGCATCCTCATCACACGATGGTTTCTTATATCCGGCGACGGCTAGCGAGAGACTAGGAGGTTTCGCTCGGCCATGTTTTCAGAGAAGCTAACTTTGTAGCGAATCACTTGGCATCAATAGCCCACTCTCTTCCGGTGGGAGTGCACTTAGTTGAGAACCTGAGTCCTAGCTTGTGCTATTGGTTGTACTTTGACTCAGTTGGGGTTCAAACCCTGCGATCGGTTAATAATTAAGTGTTAGAGCGCCTATGTGCGCTCTATTTATAAAAAAAAAACACTATACACCAAACTCAAATTTTGAAACAACTAAATTACTACGTACACTCACTCAACTAGATCAACATTTCATTATTTTGCCTCTAAACACTATTAGAAATTTAAATTTAGTGGCTGCATTGGCACATATAAGTTAGTTTAATGTCTTGTAATACTTAAGACATTTTGGGAGCTCAACTCCTTTGATGGTTTGCAATTGCCAAATTAGAGGTTAAGCTTATTTATATGACAACTTCACCACTAACTGACAACCTCCTTCCAAAATGGCAAATCAGTTGAATGACAAGAGTAAGCGGCGAGCGTTGTCCCCAAATTGAAATTTTGTTTTTTTTTTCTTCAAAATGATAAAGGAAAGAAAATGGAAATAGGGAAATTCGGCTTTCTTAATCACTCAGTTGGCTGACTCATAGGGGGGGGGGGGGGGGGAACCCCCCGAAACCTCTCCCTATCCTCTCGTTCGTGGATAGTGGAGCGAGGATAGCGCCGTCGTGCGCTTCGCCGTGTGCGCCTCCCCGGTGTGGTGCGCCGATGGGGTTAACTGCGGTCCCATGGGGTTATTTAACCTCTCCCTTAGGGTTCCATTCCCATGCTCTGCGATTCCCGGATCTGCGTTCAATTGGCTCTGTGTCCTCCCCTCAAAGTCGAAATTCAAGTCCGATCTTCGCACGATGGCGGAAGCGAGGATGGTGGTTTTTGGTGACGCAGATGTGGCGGCAGGGGTGGAACGAAATGAACTGTCTCTCCTGGGGAAAGTGATTGGCCCGTCACCGTCAATCCGCCAGCTTCTCATCACCCTGAGCGGCCTGTGGAACTGCTCCGGTCCTATCTCCGTGCTGCCGGCGGCGGAAGACCTCATTCAGGTCGTTTTCCCTACGAGCTCCGACATGAATCGGGTCTTACGCATGGCCCCATGGATTCTGCCCAAATACCTGGTGAATCTAGCTCCATGGGTAGCGGTTTCCGCCGATGTGGCTGAACAATTATGGCGGGTGCCTCACTTCCTGCAGTTTTGGGGGGTTCTTGTTCCGTGCTGCTCGAAGAGAATGGCTACACTCCTTGGTGGATACCTGGGAAAACAGACCCGGGAGAGGTTCACCGTGCGAAAGAGACGGCCGAGATTTACTTACGGGCGAGGGTGTGGTTGGACTCCCGTCTCCCCCTTCCGACATCCGTCCCGGCAGCCCATGAGAAGTCAGGTAAGGGTGACTTCACTGCTGTTGTCAAGGTTGAAAAACTCTCACAGTTCTGCTACTTATGTGCAGTGCTCGGCCATATTGGCCAACAATGTCCGCGACGGGAGGAACTCTCTGGCAAATCTTCTCCATACAGCCGCCAGTTGATCTCGAAGAAATTCGGCCCCAAGGTCAACGAGAGGAATCTGCTCGGCCGAAGAAACTTCACGTGGGTAAGAACGCGGGCATCCCCTTCTCCATTGCAGGTTCAGCCGAGGCCTTTGCCACTGCTCCAGGCCCCGGATCGTCTGCAAGTCCAGATTCCTGATACATCAGTTCCTACTGCTGGAGGGTATGGTGGACCTAACCAGGCAAGGGGCAGAGCTGCTGAATCTGATTTGCTGCAGGAGCAGAATGACCTCAAGAAACAGCGACTTGAGGGGAAGTATCCAGTGATTGCAAGTACCAGTGACGAAGTGGTGGAGGCAACCAGCCCTGACTGATCCCATGGAGATAGATGAGCATATTGGCGTGGAATTGTCGGGGAATAGGCTCCACCCTGACGATTCCTTCCCTCTTTGGAGCTGTGTGTCGCTTCTCGCCCGCGATCATTTGTTTGAGCGAGACTAAGCAAGATGATGATTATGTAAATAAAAAGCTGAGTAGACTAGGATTTAATGTGGTTTGCTGCGTATCTCCAGTAGGCTTGTCAGGAGGGCTTGTAGTTGCTTGTGCTCCATTGATCCAGTGTAGTGTGTTAGGCCAGGATGCATTCTATATTTCTGTGGAGATGCAGCATATGGTTTGGGGCAACATTATCATTTTCTTTGTCCATCTCAGTACCAATGTAAATATCCGTGGTCTCCAATTTAATGAACTCCTCCGTTTGATTTCGTTGTGTGCTTCTGTTGTCCTTGTATTAGGAGACTTTAACTGTGTGCTCTTTGCATCGGAGAAGCAGGGTGGAAGACCTCCCTCATTTTCGAGGATAGAACAGTTCCAATCTTTCCTAGCTGATTCAGGTCTGCAGGATTTGGGATTTAGAGGTCCTTCGTTCACGTGGTCTAATCGGCAAGGGCTTGCTACACATATCCTTGAGCGTTTAGATCGTGGCCTAGGTTCTGAACTACTTATTCAGGATTGGCCTAATATGCAGATTTCGCATCTAACTGACCTTGGTTCTGATCACAGGATGCTTCTGTTTCAGTTGGTTCCTAATGCAGGAAAAGGCAAGGCTAGATTCCACTTTGACGGGAGATGGAGGACGAATGAGGAAGCAAGGAACATAGTGGTGGCTTCGTGGCAGTCTGCCGTGTCCGGGACTCCTCAATTCCAGCTGTTCTCCTTACTCAAAACAGCACGTCATCAACTAGTCGACTGGGCAAAACTCGGCACCACCAACTCGGCCCGAATGATCCGCGAACTCAGGCTGGCCATTGAAGCAGAACGTGATAGATTGAACATTAATTGGGCCAACATCCAGGGTCTCGAATCACAACTGGCAGTAGCATATCGGCAGGAAGAGATATTTTGGAAACAGAAGTCCAGGAATGGCTGGCTGCAGGTAGGGGTGGTAATCGGTAAACCGGTATCCGGTATACCGGATATCGTACCGGATACCGACGGTATTCGGTATACCGAATACCGTCGGTATCGGTATTCGGGGGAGTTATTTTACATTCGGTACTACCGGATAAGAGTCGGTAGATACCGACGGTAAACCGGTATACCGTAATACCGATTATAAAAAATAAAAATAAAAAAGAGTAAAACGCGGTGCACTGAAGGGTAGAGCAGAGGAGTGTGATGCGATGGCCGAGGAGGAAGCTCGGAGCAGCAAGAGGATTAAGTGCTCAGCGGGAGAGAATGGGGAGGTGGAGATTGTGGAAGTTGAGAGTGAGAATGGAGAACGAGGTAGGTGCGGTAATGGAGGAACGTCGCCGTGGAAAGATGAGCCGAGTGAGTCGACGGTCGAGGGAGTTGCGGCGAACGGCAGGGTGCGGATCTATGTCAGGAAAGGGTATAAGGTGAAGAGGAACAACAAGATGAGGAGGTTTACGCGTTCTTCTATGAAGAAGCGTAAGGTAGAAGAGACGGTAGAAATTGAGGTGCGTGGATCGGAATCCATTGGCAACGGATCAGTCTCGACGATCAATGTTGAGGCGATTGGTGCCGGAGTGGAAGGGAGTGCAGTAGCGCCGCCGAAGAAGAATTTGGAGCTGAAAATGTCGAAGAAGAATTTGGGCCGTGACATGTCGTTTTCCCTGTTTTTGGCCTGCTTGGACTCTTTAGTTTGAGGCATTTGCTCTAAGGGGAATAATTAAGGATGCGGGGATTCTATGCTTTTGCTCTATTTGCAATGGAGTCACAGTAAGTAGAAGATTTTCTTTGTAATGCAGTTGAACTTGTTAAGTGCTTTTTGGAGGGGATGAGAACTTATTGAGTTTGTGTTTGTTTTCTGTTTGGTATCCTTTTGCCGTGGTTTAACCGTGATTCAACCATTTCCTATCGCTAAATACCGCCTATCGGTTTTTCTTCCGATAGGAGGTTTTTCTGGTCGAACCGTTCGTATGGTATGGTTTTTCAATCCTTGCTTTCAGGTGACAGTTGCTTGTAGATGATAGGTTGAGTAGTGACCCCATGGCCATGATGTAAGTAGGTGTTAGTAAATTGTTTTCTCCTATTGAATCCTTACGTGGAGAAAATTATATGAAGACTATTAAGTTAAATTATATGAAGACTATTCAGTCGGTATACCGGCTCGAAAAAATAATCTCAATGCATTAACCGGTATTCGGTATACCGGATAACATTCGGTATCGGTATTCGGTGGGTACACAATGTTATCCGGTATACCGGATACCGACCGATTACCAGCCCTAGCTGCAGGTGGGAGACTCCAACTCCAAATTCTTCCATGCCTCTACAAATCAAAGAAGGAGGCAGAACCAAATCGAATTGATTAGGGATGAAGATGGATTTATACATGTAGAGGAACCAGCAAAAGGTAATGTGGCAGTAACCTATTTCCAATTCCTTTTTACCTCTAATGGAAATCCGTTTCACTTCCTTGTGGCTGCATTGGGCATAGCACGCAAAGTGACAACTAGACAGAACCTACATCTCCTAGAACAGGTCTCGAGGGAGGAGATTAAAAGGGCAGCATTTGACATTGGCCCCTCTCAGGCACCTGGATCGGACGGATTCACTGCTGCCTTCTACCAGTCCTATTGGGAGGTTATTGGTAATTCTGTCTGTGTAGCTGCTAGCTCCTTCTTTCGATCGGGTAGATTACTTCATAACTTTAATCATACTCTGCTAACCTTGATCCCAAAGACCCCAAATGCAGATTCTATGAAGCAGATGAGACCAATAGGGTTATGTCAAGTTTTCTATAAGATTATCTCTAAGGTTTTGTCTTCTCGACTGAGTCAGGTACTTCCCTCGGTGGTGAGTGATGCACAAAATGGCTTTGTCAAAGGCAGGGACATTTCGAATAACATACTAATCGCCCAGGAAGTTATGCATTTCCTCAAAAGAAAATCACAAGGCAAGGAGAAGTGGATGGCCCTTAAACTAGACATGGAGAAAGCATACGACCGTGTTGAGTGGGGATTTCTGTTTGCTGTCATGGAGGCCTTAGGGTTTGATGCAGGATGGATAAAACTAATCAAAGCGTGTGTCACTTCGGTCACATTCTCTGTTTTGTTAAATGGCCATACCCACGGATATTTCCACCCTGAACGGGGCATCCGGCAAGGTGACCCACTCTCGCCTCTCCTTTTTGCCATCTATACTGAAGCATTCTGTAGTCTAATATCAAATGCTATCTCTTCTAATCAGTTACATGGGTTGAAAATTCATCGTTTAGCACCACTAACTTCTCAATTGCTGTTTGCTGATGACACATATCTGTTCTTGAGAGCTTCTTCAACGGAATGCTCACAATTGCTACAGCTTCTTGGCGTCTACGAGGTGGCAAGTGGGCAGAAAATTAATCTTCAAAAGTCGAAAGTCTGCTTCAGTGCGAATGTCACAGCTCAGGAAGGCGCGGAATTGGCTGCAAGTTTGGGGATTGAGTCTATTGGAGAGCTTGACAAATATCTTGGGTTGCCAGCTCAGATTCACAGATCCAAGGTGCAGACTTTCCGTTTTCTCGAGGATGGATTAAGTAAGCGGATCCAAAACTGGAAGTCAAAGTCCCTCTCTTTGGCGGGGAAAGAAGTGGTGATCAAGGCTGTCGGGTCGGCTACCCCGGTATACGCGATGCTCTCATTCCGTCTTCCTGCTACCACCTGTCGACGTATGAATGGGCAACTATCGAGGTATTGGTGGGCTAGCCAAGACAAAGACAGAGGGATACACTGGATCTCCTGGCCTGCCATCTGTGTCAGCAAATTTCGCGGGGGACTTGGGTTCAGGGACTTCGACCTCTTCAATGTAGCAATGTTGGCAAAGCAAGCTTGGAAGTTACTGGTTTCTCCGTCGTCAACTCTCGCTCAGCTATACAAGGCCCGGTATCATCCTGTTTGTGACTTCCTCCATGCACCGATTGGAAATCGGCCCTCCTGGGCATGGCAAGGAGTGCTGGAAGGTCGTAAGCTGCTTCACAAGGGATTAAGATGGCAGGTGGGTTGTGGCACATCCATCAGGATCCTTGAAGATCCTTGGTTACCCACCTCTCCACCCTCTGCTCCCACCATTCTTCCAGGTATGTCTCTGCCAAACCCTTTTGTGGCCTTTCTCATTAATCCATTAACCCGCTCGTGGAACCAGGAGCTTCTACAGATTTATTTTCATCCCGACAGCATTAAATGGATACTCTCCATTCCCATACCGTTGTCGCCGAAGCCTGACCGTCTTATTTGGCACTATTCGGAGACTGGTCAGTATACTGTGAAGTCAGGATATCACTTACTTTCAGACGAACGTGCAGAAATATTCAATTCTCTGCCCCCCCATTTGGATTCTCGGATCTGGAAAGTACTTTGGAGTCTGCCGGTGCCGCCGAAACTCCGTGTTTTTCTATGGCGGGTTGTGCGTGGCTTTCTTCCATGCTTGGCTATCCTTCACTCTAAAACACTAAGTGATACTAACGTTTGCCCTGTGTGCTCTGATGCTGTGGAATCCATATCCCATTGCCTGTTTAACTGCAGGGTTGCTCGGGATGTTTGGGAATTGGCAGGCAAAGAACCACTGCGAGCGACATTGGCGGCACTATCGGCGGATGTGGCATGGGCTCAGGTCCTCTATTTCGGCAGTTTCGACAGCAACAAGAGGAATGGGTAGCAGCCACTTCATCTCCGCAGAATGGTGCAGCTCCCCAGCGGCGCCAGGCCATCGTCCTGGACTCTGCTTCGTGCCCACAGGGTGGGCGGCTTATTCGATTTGATGGCGCAACAAAACAGGACGTAGGTGGCAGCATTGGGTTCGTGGCTTTTTCACAGGCAGGATTGATAACTAGTGCTTACGGTAAGTATTATGTTGGGTTATTTGAGCCTTTTCTACTGGAACTTCTAGCATTACGGGATGCAATGGACTGGTGCTTAATGCAAGGTATTTCTTCTGTTTGTTTCTGTTGGGATTCTCAACTCGTAATCCGTCGAGTATCGGAGGATGTACAGGACCATAATCGTGGAGGGGCGATTCTTGAAGAAATCCGGTTGTTGAAAGCTGCATTCGAACATATTCCTTTTGTTTTCTCTCCTCGTAGAACTAACAGGGCTGCCCATTGCGTGGCGAAAACAGCTCTTGCATCGGCTAATCAGCGTCTGGCTGATTTTCGTTATTTATTTTTCAATTCCTTGTAATTCCCTATCTAATACATACTACCTTAGACAAAAAAAGAAAAAGAAAATGGAAATAGGTGCAAATTAAAAAAAAATGAAATTTGTTTAGTTGGCAGTGATATGGCGCGTTGACCGTTAGTCAATGTGTTTGACCGTTCAAGTTAACGGTCAAAAGTCGTATTTGGTTAAATTGTTTATTTTGATGTATAGTTCTGGCCAGAATGTTATAGATTGAAAGATTGGCGAGGATGTTTATTTTGGTCAAAGTTCAGGCCATACATAAATATTAACCGAACACACCCGAGAAAAGTGGAGAGAGATGAGTACAAAAGCGTTTTCTTCTTCTGTTTCTATCGCATTATGCTATACAAAAGAGAAACACACTTCCATCCCCCATATATTGAGACATGGAATAATACACTTGGCCAGAAACGTGAAGCTAAAGACTCCTGTCCTGATTTTATAGCTACCTCACTCAAGCTAACATCAATTCCTTCTTCTTCAATCAAATGGTCATAGGAAAGAAGAAAAAAACCAGAACCCCAACCCCGCAATCAACCGAAAGAAAGCTCGCACGTAAACTTTGGTTCTGTTCATCTGTTGTGACCTCATTACACCCAAAAAGAATAATAATTTAAAGAAGAGGAAAACCAAACACCTGCCTAATATAAATATATTACCAAAACGAATAAACCAAGAAAGAGCTAAAGAAGCAAATCAACCCACCACCGGATAACCCAAAAAATATGTATAGGGGGGAAATTGTACGTTAACTTCCTTCCATCAGTCGACAAACAAGATAGAGAGCTTGCTGGTTGGGGGATCAGAAGCAGCTAAAAATGCATTGATTGCTGTCCCTTCTTAACTTGTGTGCTCAACCAAAGTCCTCAAGACTACAACAACAGCCAAACGAACAGAAGGGAGAACGTAAGAAGAAAGCATTATCATAATCATTATCATTATAAAGATATGATGCACAAGCAAATCCCTCCTCTCCCTCTCTCTCTCTCTCACCTGCAACCTCCACTATGGAGACGCAAAGCCGAAAATAACCAGATGCAATGGAGCATGCAAGCTCAGAACAATTGAAGTGCCATCTTGAGCTTGTTCTGTTTCCATTTCGGCAACTTGTAGAATGCATCCTTACCCATCCCAAATTTGTCCTTGAACTCCGAAGATGATAGGTAAGTCTGCAAAGGTTCACCATCAAAGACACATTGTAACAACAGTTGCAACAAAATGCCATGCCTAACTTTAAAATGCATGCTAACGTGTCTTCCTTCTTGGATTCTATTCATTTTACCTCACGCTTTGTCACATCAATCTCGGCAACAGGATCTTCTGCATTTACTGTAAGGCGCTCGTATGGATAAATCGGGAGCCCTTCCTCATCCTCATGTTCATTCTCCTTCACATCTTCCTTTATTGTCAACGATTCAATCCTGCTGCTCATAGAGTCCTCTCCTTTGGACTCTGACTCGGGTGTTGCTTTCGGACTTGCTACTTCATTCATACACCAGGACGAACCAATTCTGTGAGTAAGATT